ATACCACTGAAGCCGAACTTTGTGAACCACTGGGAATATGAGTGAAGATTTACCTACAGGAGTATGAGGAAGTAGTTAATTAGAGGAAGTCAGATGACAATAATGCAGCTGCATTCCAAAAGCTCAACTTATAATGGATAGCAACTCATAAAATCTGGAAACCTGGAGCTTTCTGAATGAGTTCTAGGCACTCAAAATGTCATGAAGTTTCTTCTCTAGCAGTTTTACTATTATATGATCCTGGGGAGGGAGAAGCTTATTAATCTTGTTAGTTTCAGCTTTCTCAGACATGTGAAATTCATTTACCTCCTGTGTCTCATAATTCTTTATCCTCCTTCCTGGAGAGAATGCTTCAACTTAGAACTTTCTCAGCATAATGTAACTTCCCTTAAGAATGAGATGCTTCAACTCAAAGGGAATTGCTGCTATGCACCCACCCGTTCCTCCAGCTGTTAATTCCTGCCACTGCTTGTACCCTGTTCTTTGAGTCTTGAAGCTGTAATATAGATATCTCTCTAAGACTAAGTTTTGGGCCACTATGTTACAGGAACCATCAGTTGTTCTTAGGAGCTTTAATAGTGGTAATGAATCTGCAGTACAGTTCCTATTGGAGAAAAGAACATGACTGACGCTGATACATGGGACATAAGGACAAGTATTCAGAAGGCTGTTTTATTGGAACAACACATCCAACTAACAGGATAGTAACAGTTGTTTCCCAGTTGAGGCTTATGATCTCCCAGTAGCAGGTTTTTCTCCTGACTTCCAATACCAGGCATGAAAAGACTGTTGTACCCAAATTGTCCACTGCATGATTATACATGTAGTCATATCTTGTAACATTTTGGCAGTGTAGCATTCAAGGTCAACAGATGAGTAGGACTGTTAGTGACATTTCTCCCTTGTAAGACCTTTCAGCCTTACAAAAGATAGCCAGCATGGGGGAAGCTTCTGCTTCAGTTCTGCCCTTATTTCTCCATGCCTTATAACCAATGTCTTCAACAACGTGGTTCTATTATCTACTCCTGGCCTGTGGCTAGCAGCAGTAGCAATGGCCTTATCATTTGGGTGGCCTTTCAGGTCTCCATGGGAAACACCTCACTTGCAGACAACCCATCTCTGTCACTGATATTTTTCATTAACTAACTTAGGGTTTGGGAGAATCTGTTTCTAGCCATGTGGGATAACCTTATAAATTTTCTTATTATTGATTTACTGGTTCTTCAGATGCATATATAAATCTATAAGATATTTTAAAAATTGTGTTATGTAACAGAAACATTTTACAGAATGTGGGCATCATCTCTGAAGTTCCATCATTTGTTTCAGCTTAAGTGCCAGTTGATCTAAGACAATATCAGAAAAGAAGCAGTGACAAGGTCCAATGAAGTATGACATGATTTTTTAAACCATTTTTATAAATTCTTTCATCAAAGGAGCAATATTAGGTACAGAAGCATCAATAGGAGATACTACCACATTTAGCCCTTTATAATCTGTAGACATTTTCTGTGATGCTACTTGTTAGTTACTTTTATGTTATGATGATAAAATGCCACGACCAAGGAAACATATAGGAGAGTTTGTTGTGCTTAGAGTTCCAGGGGGATAAGATTTCTTCATGGATGAGAAGGCATGGTAGCAGAGGTGGCAGGAACAGAAAGCTGTACTCTCATATCTTTGAACAGGCACAAGAAATAGAGAAAGTGAAAGAGGAAAGGCTAAAATCCACCCCCAATGATGTGCTTCATACAGCAAGGCCACACCTCTTAAACTTCCTAATAAAGAACCACCAACTGGGGATAAAGTATTCAAATATTTGGAGCTTATGGGTGCATTCTCACTCAAACCACCACAGGTATCCATCCTCTTCATCCTGGGGTTCTGTTGTTTCTGTAGTACTCCTGGGTATGTACTGGCCCTGATGATATTGGCATAACCAGGTTGTTCAACCTGGTCTGGCTTAGGTTCAGGGGCTGCCCTCTAGCCTGTTATACCTGCTGCTGGAGCTGACTCCATTATGCTGACAAGCTCCAAGCCAGCACTGCAGTCCTTTCCATCTGCAGCATCTGACTGCTGAAAGTGTCTCAGCCTGGGTGAACAATTTTATTCCCAGGAAATTTTACTTCCCATCCTCTGGTGGGATAGTTGCCTACCTGTAGGAGAGGCTTAATCTCTTCTATAAACTGTTTCTCAGGCTTTTGAGCCTTCTAGAATATTTAATCAGCAAGACATTTGGCCTTCCATTGATTTTTGCCTAGTCACTTTGACTCAGAGCATATCTTGCTGTGTTTGGCTATATTCAGACCCTTTTGTCTACTTTGTGATTCTTTAAAACTTTCTCTATTGTTTCTGCATTTTGCAAACTCAATTTACATGTTGCTCTATGCCATTTAGATTTCTCAAAGCTTCTTTTAATGAAGATCTTGTCCCACCATGTGGATAAGTAAAGCCACTAATGTTCATACCAGTCCCGAGAATCCCTGCTGAACCAATCACTTTTATAACTCCCCTATAAACACAGATCCATCAGATCCAGTGAAATAGGCATCAAACACTGCCTCCATAATGCCCGATTCTTTCATTAATCACCTATGATTCCTCTAACATCTTTCAATCACTGATATTTTGGTGACTTCAGGTGGTGATAACCAAATGTTCCAAACAACTTCCACAAGCCACTCTATCAGAAACTGGTTTCCCTTACATTTCCTCAGGCTATGTAGTTTTCATCTCTAGGAAGGATGAGTAGTTACATTAATGTTTTTCTGTTTCCTCAGAACTCCGATTGATCTTATCCATCTGCATATCATACAGCCTCATGAGCCAGGCTGTGAGAATGAAATTAGACCCTTATCTATCACCCTGCACAAAAGTCAACTCCAAATAGATCAAAGACCTCAATATGAAACCCAAAATTATGAAAGAGTAGAAGAAAATGTAGGCAGTAACCTACAAGATATAGGTTCAGGAAAGGACTTTCTAAATTGGATTTCAGTTGCTCAGGAATTTAGTTCAACAATCTAGAAGTGGTGTTAGTTACTTTTATGTTGCTGTGATTAAACACTGTGACCAAAGGACCCTAAAAAAGGAAGAGTTGAGCCGGGCGTGGTGGTGCACACCTGTAGTCCCAGCACTTGGGAGGCAGAGGCAGGTGGATATCTCTGAGTTCAAGGCCAGCCTCGTCTACATAGTGAGTTCCAGGACAGCTGGAGCTACAGGGAGACCCTGCTTCAAAAAGACAAAAAAAAAAAAAAAGGAAGAGTTTATTTAGCTTATGGTTCCAAAGGGATGAGGGACAAGAATCTATCACGGGGGGGGGGCATGGTGACAGAGATGGTTAGAGAAGGAGCAGAAGCTAAGGATTCACATCTTCAAGCAGGCACAGGAAGCAGCATGTGGCTAGAGATCTGGCAAAGCTTAAGAACTCTGTAAGCCCACCAGCAGTGACGTGCTTCCTTCTAGCATGGCTGTGCCTTCTAAGACCTCCCCAAACAACACCACCAACTGGGGACAAAGTGTACAAATACTTGGAACCTGTGGGGAAAATTCTCATTCAAACCACCACATTCCACTCCCTGACTCCGATAGGCTCACGACCATATAAAATACAACATGCTTAAAAGTCCAACCTTAGAAGTCCCCATAGTCTTTACCAGTCTCAATACTATTCAAAAGTCCAGAGTCCCTTCTGAGACTCAGAGAAATCTCCTAACTATAAGCTTCTTTAAAATTAAAAGACAAATTACATGCTCCCAACATGCAGTGGTATCGAATATACATTCCCATTCCAACAGGGATGAATAGAGACATAGTGAAGAAATACTGGACTGAAAACCAGTAGGAAAAGCACCAAATTCAGTAGTTCCATGTCTGACTTCTAGGATTTTACTTCCAAAGGGCTTAGATGGCTCAACATCTCCAGTTTTGTTGCATGCAACAGGTATCTCTTTCTTGGGCTGTTATCACTGCCTGTATGCAGCTCTCCTTGTCAGATGTCTCAAAGCTCTGGCATAATGAATGTTTTCTTGGGGTCTCCACTGTCAACCAGGCTTCACCTTCAGCCTTCTTTATGGAGGGATGTCCCTGCTGTACTCTTCCTGATCTCCTTGGTGCTCTTAAACTGAGGAGGAAGAACCAATGATCCCTTCACTCTTCTAAAAGTCGGCATCAGGTGAATGACACTTCCAAGTTTGGCTGAAAGTTTGGGATAGACCCTGGCCTGTTTCATCTGCTTTTGAAGCTTTTCTCTGCTGTGGTTTTCTAGGAGTAGAAAGCTCCAGAATTTTCCTTTTACAAGTTGGAGGCTTAACTGGGTGTGGTCTTTCCCTAGAGGTACTCTCTCTACTGTTTAAGTACAGATATTTAGGACTCTCCTTAGTCACTTTAATCTCCTTATCAAAGGGATCTTGTCCTTCAGCACAAGTCTTGGCTCCATTATTAATCTTCCCAATGCTCTTTTCCAATCCAGACAGTACATTCTGCACTTCTTTCTGCCCCATTTGCTATTTTTCACTCTAGAGCTGCATAATATTCACCATTAAGAACCACACCATCATGTCTATGTTGGGCTGTCTTGAAGTGTTGTCTGCCAAAGAAATTAGTCCATTGCTTTTCAACTTAACTTTTGGCAAGTTCTTTGACTGTGGGCAGACAACAAGCAGACTCTTTGCTAAAATATCTCAGTTGCTGTTGAAGTCCTTATTTCCTTCTGGAACTACTTTGCTCCCAACACTACTTTCTTCCAGGCTCCAACTAGAGTGGCCCATTAAGCTTTGCTTATAGCATTCAACTCCTTTCAGTTTAAACTTCCAAAGTCTTCCGCATGCCTCCAAAAACCCACATGGTCAGATTTGCCACAGAAACACCAACAATCCTGGTACAAATTTCTGCCTTAGTTACTCTTGTATTTGCTGTGATAAAACGCCATGACCAAGGGAACTTTATAGACGGATAAAAAACAAAATATTGAAGATCACATCTGTGAGTGACTGTAATGTTCACTTAAGGTTAAAGTGACTCATCTGTGAAAGATGGCAGGTTGCTGTGCTGAAGAACCTTCCCAGGGCCCCCTTCATATCTTTGTTCCTTAGGCTATAGATGAAGGGGTTCAGCATAGGTGTGACCACAGTGTACATCACTGAGGCAATCATGTTCCCCTGGAAAGAATGGTTTACAGCAGAGCTGAGATAAACCCCCAGTGCTGATCCATAGAATAAGGAGACCACAATGAGGTGAGAGCCACAGGTTGAAAATGCTTTATTTTTGCTCACAGTAGAAGACATTTTTATTAAGGTGGAGATGATCTGAAAATAAGAGAAAAGGATCCCAGTGAAAGGAAGAATAGCCAGCAAAGCCATCATAAAATATATGAAGATGTTATTGAGAAAAGTATCAGAGCTGGTGACCTTCAGAACTAGAGCCAGGTCACAGAAGAAATGTGGGATTTCAGTGCCTATAGAGAATTGCAACTGAATCATCAGTAGAATGTGAATGAGGGAAACCCAGACCATTGTTATCCATGACAGCAGAACCAGGAGACCACAGAGCTTAGGGTTCATGATGGAATTGTAGTTCAGTGGGTGGCATATGGCCATAAAGCGATCATAGGCCATTATTGTTAGTAGAAATGTGTCCATTCCAACAAAAGTATTTGAAAAATACACCTGAGTGAAGCACTCTATGTAGGAGATATCTTTGCTCTGTGTCTGAATGTTCATCAGCATCTTTGGAATTGTGGTGGAGATGAAGCAGATGTCAACCAAGGAGAGATTGGAGAGGAAGAAGTACATGGGTGTGTGAAGATGGGTATCAGTGCTGATGGTCAGGATGATGAGCAGGTTCCCAAGCACAGTGACCAGGTACATGCATAGGAATAGTCCAAAGAGGATGGACTGTAGTTCAGGATTATCTGAAAGGCCCAGAAGGGAGAATGCTGATACACAAGTGTCATTCTTACTTTCCATGTAGCTGGTATATTTTCAAGGAAAAATGACAAAGAGAAATGGTCAATTTGCTGTTCAGGAAGCTGTCACTTTACAGTATTATCCTCTGGCAGATAATCTTCACCTGTTTGGCGTTGTATAAGTTTTGATAATATACTTATAGATGCATTAGTCTGTTTCCATTTCTTCCTTTCTATATATAGTATTTGAAAATTTCATGCATGTATGTAACATGTTCTGATCAGTTCCACTCCCACTATCTCTCCTTGAACTCCTCCTACACCATCCTCCATCACTGGTTCGGTTTCCATTTTTAAGGGTGCATAACTATTCTGGATTTCTTTATTTAATGAAACCTGTCATTTAATTATTGATACATTAATTATTATTGGTCTGTCTGAATACAAGTAGTTTGTTATTTAGATTTTCTGATTTTCTTACTATACTTAAAATTTTGTTCATTCTATTATCTCCAGATATGTGACAAAATAAGGTTTCAAGTGATATTTTTGAATTGATGTTTTATAGAAATGAAAGTTAACCCTCAGTCCCTGAAATCTTTTTCTTTTGAAATTTATTATTTTTACTATTACTTCATTTTTGAAGTTTATTAATGCCTAGTAGGTAACAAGAGCTCAATATATTTTATTTTTAACATTAATAGAATCACTATTAAGGTCTTCATTTATCATAATTATTTGCTTGTATTACCTTCCTAGAGTACAGACCAGACATGGGTCAGAAAATGTAGTCTTATAGAAGACTAACGTGATTTATGAATATTTAATTTCAAAGACAGGAAATGTCAGGATTATTAGTGAATACAAAATACAATGAAGACAGAAAATCATTACTTGTGGATAATGTAGTCTTTGAAGATGACTGAAGAGTCAACTCTGAAAGAAAAATATGTGACATGAGAAAAGGTAGCTGGGCCATTGTTAATCAGTAAGGAGGGAAGAAATATTCTATGCTGGGAGTACAAAACGTATGGTTACCATGGGGAGTTTGCTAGAGGATGTAATTTGAGAGGTCACTGTGATGGGGAGCAGGGAATGAATGTTAGGGTGCACATAGTTTGTGATACCCACAGTGCCTCCTGTTCTCCCTTGATGCTACCACTACACTGGAAATTTGTTGTGCACTGGGTTTAAGGTTATAGTAATCACATCTGATTATTTGTTATCAATTATTTATATTACATTTCATGTTCAAGACAAAAACATGTTAAAATACATTAGATATGAATGGGAAAATATCTATAATGACACACAAAAGCAAATCATAATTTATTATAAGTATGAATATAGACACTTAGTTGGCAATCAAAGATAAAACAGGATATAGTCAAGGCTATATTAAAATAATACACTATTAATAAGAAATGTCAATTTTGGGACTGGAAGGCGAGTTAAGATTAATATATGTGTTGCTAGACAATTAGCAGTTGCTGGAGAAGAGAAACGTTGTGTTCCATAATGTAGCCACTGATAAACTGGCAAGGTAAGAGATTCACCTTGTAAATAGTTGCTCATCGATGTTCCTATAAACAACTATAATTAAATTCATCATGTCACCAAAAACTTGCATGATAATAGCAGCAAGAATATTTGGGAAGGGGAAGGGGATAAACAAGAGTGGAGGAGGGTAGGAGAGATGAATATGCTCAAAATACTTCATATACACGCATGAAAATATCACAAGAAACCCATTATATAAACAATCCATGCTAATTCAAATATTTAAAACTCAGTAAAATTCAGATTCTTAAAAGGTAAATATTCAAATATACAAAACATGAAAATTTATTTGAGAAAATTGAATACCCATTCCTTTTCCTTGCTCCTAGGCTCCAGTTTTTCATAAATTACTGGAACCAAGAATATCCTGACCCCATCAAGAATAGCTATTTGAAAACCACATACAATAAAAGGGGATCTATTAAGTAATTATAGTGTGCTAAATTGCCAAAAGCTCTTGACATTGCCATCAAAATTTAATCATTACAAAAAACTTGAATGAGTTTATAATATAAAAAAATTGGACCATGTGTAGGTCATCTGAAATGATCACACTCGTGGGAGATGAGTCATGAAGATCAAGTGAGAGCATAAGCACAAGGATAGAGAGAAAAACAAGATCTGTCAGTGTCAAGTATGACAGGGTAGCTCAAAAATCTACAAAATTTTCTAGCATAATAACACCTTATGAGTAATAGATCTGTAGTGAGTAATTAGGAAATAAATAATTTGATGGAGGAAATATGACAGGAAGTTGAAATGTATAGGAGATAGTGAATAAGAGTTGGAGAATCTCCAGATAGTAACACTGGAAACAGGCTATGTATCCCAGACTGAAAGAAGGAAGCAGGAAGAGCAGGAAAAGACTGACCTGTCCTGGTAGAAACTGATACTTGTCTTTTTTTTTCTAGAGGTGAAGTCCAGTGCCCACTTTCTCCTTATCCTTATCAATCATTCCTCTTCAGTGAGATTTTACAGATTTCTCCTGTGGCTGTCAGTGAAGTTTGGTCCATGAATGGGCCTTAAAAGGCCTATGTGGGCTTTCTTGAAGTTTGACTTCAGAGAATTACAGGGGAATGTAATTGGGCATGGTTTAAATTTCTTACGTTTACGGGTAGAATTTTCAGTTCTCTTCATTAAGCTAATTATTATGTTCTCATTCTTTCTCTAGACAATTCATCTCCCTTGGCACACAAAGAAAGAAGCAGAGTGGAAAGTTTTCAGTCAATTTCTAGTCAACATGCAAGTGTTATCTCCAAGAACTTATTTGTACAGGTTTAAATTAAAAGTCAAAAGATGCCCACATAAAATTCAACATAGATGTGGGCAAGTGGGTAAGAAACCCCAATCTTACCCAAGGCTGCTGGGAATGGGAAGCTTATTCTCATTTAAAGATAAGAGTCTCAGTAGATTGACCATGTTCCAATGGATGAACCCACATGAAAGCTCATTAGAGAACACAAACCTGACTCCATAGGCCTTAAATAATAAACAAATAAATAAATAATAAAAAGCACAAAAATTTGATGGGGTTTAATAAGGGGTGGTATAGGTAGAGGAAGGTGTCTAAATATCATCAAAATATATTTTGTGAAGTTCACAAAAATCTTTAAAAATAATTAATACTAAAAATATGTCTCTCGAAAAAGGTTAATTTCTACAAGAAAAAACACTGGTAGTCTATCATAACTCTTATAAGCCATATTTAGTGATATCAGAAACCCTTTCAGATCCACAATTTTTTTGGTTTGTTTATTTATTTATTTAGTATTTGTTTACATATTTAGCTATTGGTCTTTTTGAGACAGGGTCTCCGTGTAGCCCTAGCTGCCCTGGAACTCACTATGTAGACCAGGCTGGCCTTGAACTCATAGAGATCCACCTGCCTCTGCCTCCCACGTGCTGGGATTAAAGGTGTGGCTACCATGTACTTCTTCCTCTCCAATCTCTCCTTGGTTGACATCTGCTTCATCTCCACCACAATTCCAAAGATGCTGATGAACATTCAGACACAGAGCAAAGATATCTCCTACATAGAGTGCTTCACTCAGGTGTATTTTTCAAATACTTTTGTTGGAATGGACACATTTCTACTAACAATAATGGCCTATGATCGCTTTATGGCCATATGCCACCCACTGAACTACAATTCCATCATGAACCCTAAGCTCTGTGGTCTCCTGGTTCTGCTGTCATGGATAACAATGGTCTGGGTTTCCCTCATTCACATTCTACTGATGATTCAGTTGCAATTCTCTATAGGCACTGAAATCCCACATTTCTTCTGTGACCTGGCTCTAGTTCTGAAGGTCACCAGCTCTGATACTTTTCTCAATAACATCTTCATATATTTTATGATGGCTTTGCTGGCTATTCTTCCTTTCACTGGGATCCTTTTCTCTTATTTTCAGATCATCTCCACCTTAATAAAAATGTCTTCTACTGTGAGCAAAAATAAAGCATTTTCAACCTGTGGCTCTCACCTCATTGTGGTCTCCTTATTCTATGGATCAGCACTGGGGGTTTATCTCAGCTCTGCTGTAAACCATTCTTTCCAGGGGAACATGATTGCCTCAGTGATGTACACTGTGGTCACACCTATGCTGAGAAAAAGAAAAGGAGTCTCAACTCTTTGAGACACTGTATCCCTGCCTCCTAGGAGCAATTAATTGCCAAGTTCCTTAAGTTGTGTGGGGATCTTACCCACTTAATGTTTATGCTGGGATTTCATCTGATTTGAACTTGCATAGGAGTTGTACATGCTATCACCATTGTTGTGAGTTCATGAATAACTGATCAGCTGTCTGGAAGACTCTGTTTTCTTGTGATCACCCATTCCTTCTGGCTCAGTGTTATTAAGGAGGAGATAAGGGAAAGAAGGGGTGCTTTAACTGGAGGGGGATAAAGAGACTTATACAAGGAAGTTAGCAGAGAGATAAATAATACTCAGATGGTATGAAAAACCAGAGGGAAATGTATTAGTTCAACATCCTGAAAATTACACATACAATAAAAATATATGAGTAAATGTGTATAGCTGAAGACACATCCCTTTTGAATTGACTTATATGCAAGATGGAAGAAGGGTAAATATAGTTTTCTAGATGTAAATGTCCAGTTTCCATTGCACTTTTCATTGTAGAGGCTCTGTATTATCCAATGAAGACTTTTTAAAATCCATTTTGTCGAAAAATCAGATGTATATAGATGCATGGTTTTATTCCAGTGCATTTTATTCTATTTTATTGATCTTTGTGTGTGTGCTTATGCCTGTTTTATGCCACTCCTGATATTATGGATTTAAATTATAAATTAAAATTTGGTATTGCCACATCACAAGAATTCCCTACTATGCTTAGGATTTATTTGTGAATTTGAGGTCTTTTCAACATCTCTGTAAATTTTAAGATTGGTTTTGGAATTTTACATGAAGTATGTGGTTAAAATTTTGATAGGGATGACATTGAATCTGTTGAGTACTTTCAGTTATGCAGCAGTTTT